CCAGGTCCCACCCCTCTAGGTGGTCACAAACCACCTATCTGATCTCCCTGTGCTATGCGGCTGTTTCCCACTAGCTAGCTATTTTACATTTGGTAGTATATATAAGTCCATGCCACTCTTCCAACTCTTTTCATGTTGCTAAGATTACTCTGATAGGCAAAAAACAAAAAGAAAAACAACTCAGCCTAAACCACACACCTTATACAAAAATCAGCTGAAAACAGATCATGGGGCTAAAACAAGGCATAACTTAAAACTTCAAAGAAAACAAGAGGAAATCATCAGGACCTAGAGTTAGGCAAAGATTCTGAGAACTGACATCAAAAGCATGATTCATTAAAGGAAAAATTAATAATTTTGTCTTCATCAAAATTTAAAACTTTTGATCTGTGACAGACTCTATTAAGAGGATTAAAAGACAAGCTACAGACGGGGGAAATATTTTTATACCATATATCTGACAGAGGACTTGTATCTAGAATATAAAAAGAACTCACCTAATCGCAACAGTTAAACAACAAACAATTCAATTAGCTATGGGCAAAACTCATGAACAGACATTTTACTGAAGAGTACCCAACAATGGAGGCACTGTGTCATTCACCATTTCATGCCCCCATATCACCTCCCAGTCACTCTCACTCCCAAGTTTACTTTAACTTTTTTCTCTTCATTGTAGATTTTCTTAAATTCCATCAGTTGAATTTAGATACTTTTTTTTTTTAAAACAAAAATGTGGAGAAAGAAGTGTAATACAGACACTTCAAGGGTTACAGCACCAACTACCAGGAGAGTATTGTCTGTCTGCTTGACTGGGAGCTCAGGGAGTAATGTGGAGTCCATCCTGCAGAGGTGGCTAGAGCATTGGGGACACTTTTTTCCTTAAAGTAACTGAGGTTGGGAAGAGATCAGGAGGCACAGAGGATCAGCTCCACACCAGTAAGCGTAGATTTGCACTGACTTTCGTTTTTAAGTGGCAGTCTACTCAGCCTCAAGAAACAAACTTTTAATAACTAAGGCATTAGGCATCTGGATTCAATCCTACCTTCAGGGACTTAACTCCTAAACATTCATCAGCAGGTAGCATATGCTATTGAGTCTCAGAGACTTTTTATATCCTGTATCTCAGCCAGTGTGGTATAGTTACAACAGAAAAACTGTTATTTCTGGAAATAGGTATGTGAACACTTTGGTCTCAAGCAGTAGGTGCCGGGGGGATTTTATGTTGCAGTGAAAGAGCACGTAGAATCAACCAATCTTCAGAATCATTCATTCATCAGGAACTCTGCTAGGTGCTGAGGATACAGTAGTAAGCCAATCATTATCTCTTGTCACTCAGCCTCATACCATCCCTTCTTTATCCCGATCTGTAAGCAGGGTAAGGAGGCTACAAACATTATTTCCTAGGCTCCTCCTACTGTCACTTGTAAGAACTAGAGATCAACAGTGGGGGAGCATGGTTAAGAATTGTAATACTTAGCTACTACCTGAAACTACAGTATTGTGATGGTTAATTTTGTGTTAACTTGACTGAGCCACAGGATACCCAGATTTTTTTTTTCATTGAAAAATATCACAACTTTTACTGTAATGTTTTTAAACGTTTTTATTGGAGTATAATTGCTTTACAATGTTGTGTTAGTTTCTGCTTTATAACAAAGTGAATCAGCCATGCATATACATATGTTCCCATATCTCTTCCCTCTTGCATCTCCCCCCTCCCACCCTCACTATCCCACCCCTCTAGGTGGCCACAAAGCACCAAGCTGATCTCCCTGTGCTATGCAGCTGCTTCCCACTAGCTATATATTTTACATTTGGTAGTGTATATATGTCCATGCCACTCTCTCACTTCATCCCAGCTCAAGTCCATTCTCTAGTAGGTATGCATCTTTATTCCCATCTTGCCCCTAGGTTCTTCATGACCATTTTTTAAAAATTCCATATATATGTGTTAGCATACAGTATTTGTTTTTCTCTTTCTGACTTACTTCACTCTGTATGACAGTCTCTAGGTCCATCCACCTCACTACAAATAACTCAGTTTCATTCCTTTTTATGGCTGAGTAATATTCCATTGTATATATGTGCCACATCTTCTTTATCCATTCATCCGTTGATGGACATTTCGGTTGCTTCCATTTCCTGGCTATTGTAAATAGAGCTGCAATGAACATTGTGGTACATGACTCTTTTTGAATTATGGTTTTCTCAGGGTATATGCCCAGTAGTGGGATTGCTGGGTCATATGGTAGTTCTATTTGTAGTTTCTTAAGGAACCTCCATACTGTTCTCCATAGTGGCTATATCAATTTACATTCCCACCAACAGTGTATGAGGGTTCCTTTTTCTCCACGCCCTCTCTAGCATTTATTGTTTGTAGAAATTTTGATGATGGCCATTCTGACCGGTGTGAGATGATATCTCATTGTAGTTTTAATTTGCATTTCTCTAATGATTAATGATGTTGAGCATTCTTTCATGTGTTTGTTGGCAATCTGTATATCTTCTTTGGAGAAATGTCTATTTAGGTCTTCTGCCCATTTTTGGATTGGGTTTTTGTTTTTTTGATATTGAGCTGCATGAGCTGCTTGTAAATTTTGGAGATTAATCCTTTGTCAATTGCTTCATTTGCAAATATTTTCTCCCATTCTGAGGGTTGTCTTTTGGTCTTGTTTATGGTTTCCTTTAGTGTGCAAAAGCTTTTAAGTTTCTTTAGGTCCCATTTGTTTATTTTTGTTTTTATTTCCATTTCTCTAGGAGGTGGATACCCAGATATTTGGTCAAACATTTTTCTGGGTGTGTCTGTGAAGGTGTTTGGGGATGAGATTAACATTTGAATTGGTCAACTTAGTAAAGCAGATCACTCTGCCTAATGTGGATGGTCCTCATCCAATCAGGTGAAGACCTGAATAGAACAAGAAAGGCTGATCCTCTCTGGAGTAAGAGGGAACTCCTCCTGCCTAACTTCATTAAACTGCCTTCAGACTTGTCTTTTCCTGCTCTCAGACTTGACCTGAAACATTGGTTCTCAAGCCTACTGGCTTTTGGACTGGTGCTACGCCATCAGCTTCCCTGGGTCTCCAGCTTGCCAAGTGCAGATCTTGGGACTTCTCAACCTCCATAATCATGTGAGTCAATTTCTTATAATAAATCTCTTTACATGTACATCCTATAGGTTCTGTTTGTCTGAAGGACCCAGACTAATATGAGTATGTTCAGGAAGTTCAGAAATCATACAGTAGATTTTTATTGGTTTAAGGATTTGCTTAAACAAAATAAATAACTATATTGTTTACTACTGTAATACAAATAATTTACATTATGATTTGTTAGATTTGTGTCCCCTGAAAACTATGAAGTATGAAGGCTTGGAAACTGGCATAAAAACAGGGACTTAGATCTGCAAAGGATTTTGGATAAGCAAGAGAGAATATATCACAATGGTGAAACCATTAATTGTGAAAAGTGGCCAGAAAACCTTGCTATAGGAATTCCTGAGTCTTAGAATGATATTGTAAATTTTGTAAATGATATTGTAAATAGTCTTAGAATGATATTGTAAATAGGGAAGAGATTGCTGGTGCCAGAAGCCAAGTGAGAATTGTGAGTAGATGCAAAAGCAAAAGCATATTTCTGTAATAAAGAGAAGTGATACACTAACAAATAAAGTTTGCAGGAAAGTAATCATCCTGAAATACTTTTTTAAAAGCAATTCCATTTGAAATATACATAATAAATACTTCTTGCATAATGCTGACTAAAAAAACTTTTGTCACTTGAATTCGTAAGACTGTAATTTTGACTATCAGGAAGAAAAAAAAGATGGTTTACAAAGCGTGTTTAAAGAAAAGTAGATAGCCTGAGGAGTTAACTTAATGCTTAAAGTTCTCATCATGAATAATGGAGGAAGAGGTACCACACAGCTTGCTTGGGATTCAGTATATAAGAAGACCAAGATGGTCAACACTAAAAATGGAGTTTTGAAACGATAAGTGATACTTGTAAATATCTGATGTGAATCCACTGACCCAGAGAAAGTTTGAACTTAGTAAGTATAAGTCTTGCTATAGTCTATGATATAGTTGGGGGGAGGGAGAAAGTTTGTGGGCAAGATAGTGCCAGGAGCTTTAGAGAGCACTTGGTCAGGCCCAAGAGAACTAAAAGGTGAGAACCATGATGCTGAGCTTTAGAGAATCTATTATTTTATCCTGACGTGATAACTGATTTTCATACTGCCTGCATAGGAACAATTTTCTCCTTCAAAAGTAGCAAAATTAGTGTCAGGAAAACATTAATAAAAGAATGCAATTCGATGGTTGATATATATTCACATTGATTTAATGATAAAGAAGCTATTTCAGGCATTCATATTAGAATTCCTAGGCTGGTAAAGAAATTTGGATTCCGTGTGTCGCAGTAACCCTACTGTAACCCTACTCTGCCCATCCTGTGTGCTTGACAAGACATTGCACTACCACTAACTCAGAACCTAGTACCTCAAAATTAGGCACAAGCACAAATGGTTTTGGTGACAAATTTTTCAGAAATCTAGATGACATCAGATTTTCAGAGCTATGAAGGTAATCTCACTGGTACAGTGTATGTGTGTGTGTGTGTGGCGGATGGGTGTATAATATTTCATGAATCTGACAAACCATGGAGGTTTCATTATAAGCAAGATGAATAGTCAGCACAGCAGCCCCCAAATCACAGCCTTCTATTCATCATAAACTGCTGGCTGAGGGTAATTAATTAGCCAGTCTGGGAGCCCTTTTAAGTTCAGTAGGTCAGAACAAACCATTTCAGGGCCGACCTCTTCCAGACAACTCTCCCATAGCCTCCTATCAAACAAAAAACATTTTTCAGTCACCCAGAATGTAGAAGATAATTCACCTCATCCAGTCTCTATTTTCTAACAAACACCTGATGATGTCTGGGAGCAAATAAAGCCCAGCTCACAATTTTCTCGTCAGAAAGGGCTCCAGGGTGGCTTCAGTTCAACAAGGAGTGAGCACCAACTCTAGCATATAAGACATGGGTCGTGGAAATAGAATTTTTTTCCCAACGTGGCTTCTCTGATGTTGAATAAGGTATGAAGTTCGGGTGAAGCCTTTTCCACATGTATCACACTGATAGGGTTTCTCTCCAGTGTGGATTTTTTGGTGCTCAATAAAGCTTCTATTCCTAGTGAAACTTCTCTCACACTCATTACATTTATAAGACACGGAAGCCTCAACATTTTCCCACTGGCTTTCCATCCTCCCCTGACTCTCCCAGGTCTCTCCACGGTCAGGATTCTGAACGTTTTTATCGCCGTGGATCCACTGATGTCTCAGGAGATGTGAATTGCGCCTAAAGGCTTTGCCGCACACATTGCACTGGTATGGCTTCTCCCCAGTGTGGATCTTGCGATGTTCAAGGAGGCTGCAGCTCTGGCTAAAGGTTTTCCCACAGTCATCACACTCGTAGGGCTTCTCCCCGGTGTGAGTTCTCTGGTGTTTGATAAGGTTTGAACTGTGACTGAAGACCTTGCCACATTCCTCACACTCATATGGTTTCTCCCCAGTGTGGACTCTCTGATGAATGACGAGGGCAGAGCTCCCAATGAAGGTCTTGCCACACTCCTCACATTCATAGGGTTTCTCCCCAGTGTGGATTCTCCTGTGCTTCGTCAGGCCTGAACTCTGAGCAAAAGTCTTCCCACATTCATGGCAATAGTGCCGCCTCCTCCCAGAGGCATTTTCCTGCTTTCTTTGTAACCTGCCCTCCTGTGCACCAACTTCCGCACATGTAGAAATCTGGGCAGTGTCTTCACCAGGTGGCATGGCATCTTCCCAGGCTCCTGTTCTGGATGGTCCTCATCTGGAGGCAGGTCCCTGATCTTAGTCCGTATCTCACCACCTGAAATAACAAATGACCAGCAACTGTCAATTATGTCCTGCCACAGAAAAGCTTTGTGATGAGTCCCAGGGAGGCAAGAATTATAGAGGTCTATACATGGCAAGGATGAGGAGTTAAGTACAAGAATAAGGATGGAAATAAGAGGGAGAACAGAGTACTGGGGAGGAAGGAGACAAGGATGGGAATGGGTTCATTGGAAGAACGATACAAACTGGCAAGGTGGTGAGGACTGTGCTAGGGGTACATGCAGTGGCTCTAAGTTCTAAGGACAGTAAGGCAGGCTCGTGCACCTAGGATTAAATACTAAAAGGGTTGCACAGAAGGCAACAGTAAGCAAGGCAAGTGAAAGAACCTCTGAAGCATTTAGTAAGAAAACAGGGGAAGTGGGGACTCAGAAATTGATCACCAAACAATGACAAGGCAGCCATCTCTCCTATTATTCCAGGTAGTGGCAGGATCCCCAAACAAAACTGGCTTCAACCTTCAACACTAGGAGATCTGAGTTGGAGTGCCACCCCTGCAATCTTGTGCACCTCTGCACCACATGCTTATCTCTAAGGCCAGGCTCTGCAGTCAATCTCTGGGTCCCTTCTAGCTCTCACTCTATGGTCCCATGGCCCACTTCCTGAAGATACCCCCTCAGCTCTCCTCTACCATCAGGGCTAGCAACAGGAAGGGAAGGGGAAGAAATAAGCAGTTACTGAGCATCTACTATGAGCTGGACCTGTACTAGAGGTTGTAAGTGCTTCATCCCACTTAACCTTACTACAGGGAAGAGGAGAAGGCAAGATCAGAAGTGTTAAGGAACTGGTCAGTAGCAGTTTAGAAATGGTGATTCTGATCCAAACGTAAGGGGGTTCGATGGCTTCTAACAGCCTGGTAGGTTCTAATTCACAAAGGCAGTCAAGAAACCTTATGAGAAATCAGTGCCCATCAGTCTTACCCAAGGAGGTCAGGCTGCCACAGTTCTCTTGCTTTTCACCTCTGTAGAAGTTCACCTGAGCTGAATCCAGCTGTGTCCATTCAGGGGAA